ACTTCTTATCTGTCAATATATATATATATATAACAACATAATAAACCATGTACATGCATGTTCAGATTTTAGATATGGTACATATATGGAATCTAGTGGTGAGTGTTGTAAGCAGGATGCCTTGTGCGAGCCACTGGATCTTGTTGCGACCTCGCAGCCTTTGTACAAAGTTTCCACCAGCCAGCGTGTGCAGAAAAAAAGGCGAAGTGAGACAAAACATGACAGGGCAGTAGCAGGGGGTGTGTGGTGTAGGAGAAGGTGTCAGTTGAAATTCTTGCTATGTAAGATGCTGTGTGGCTTCCCAAGATCTTCAACCTGAGTTTCTAAGACTCTCCACCTCCGGGTTCATTTGTTGATATGTTCAGTCAGAAGGCTGTTGTGAAGGTACCAGGTCAGGCTGACCCGGTATCTTCGTCAGAACCGGCTGGTGCCCAGCCCATGCGCAGGTGGGTCCGGCCCCCGATGCGTGGTACAAGCGCAAAGCGCGGTGGGGAGGCCCAGAAGAGATGGTGTTCCTCACCTGCCTGGCCTGGGCCACAGGGATATACCCCAAACACAAACGGCACTGGTGTTCTAAAAGCACTGTAAGATGTTGTAAGAATCTATTTGGGGGTCATTCCTTGGCGTTGTAGGGTTAGGCTGCATGAGGCATGAGCAGGCGCTCCCTAATCGATACCTTCTGCGCCAATGTGCAAGAGTGCACGGTAGTTTGACATCCAATTGCTTGTTTTGGCGCGAGCTGCTCTGCAATACAGAATGGCAGCAAATCCAAGGATGCCGAACTCACACGAAAATGGTGAAGACATTTAGATCGTGCCACCCATCGCCCAGACCGGCGCCGCCGCCCGGAAGGCCCAAAGCCGCCAACGGCCCAAAACACGCGAGACGCAAATTTCCCAGACGCCCCAGCCACAGCAGGCCACGCAGACCCCCGATGAACAAGCCCCCCAGTTTGAATTGGAGATCTTTTTCATATGGGGGGTTTATTGATCAAGAGTCTACATTACTGATGTACTGAACTTCTTCCGCTGGTGGAATGGCCACCTTCTCAAAGAGATGTGGAGCCCCGTGAAGTTCCGGGGCAAAGTTCCACCATGTTCGACCTTTTCGTTCTGAGGCAGCTGATGCAGATGCTGACAGGCTTCGGCAGCGGCGCGTCCGCTTTGTCCGGGAGAAGCAAGCCCGCTTTGGAGTTGACTCCACCCAAAACTCTGAAAAAGAGATGCAATTGATGGGATGTTCCACAAGTACGTTCCATGTTCCACAGGTCACATTGAAAAGGAATGGCTAAGGTTGGTTTGTTTCGGAAAGGTTGTTCGACTTGGAAGCTAGGACCGCTAGGAGTCCAACTACGTAATTTAGTGATCCTTACCGAACATCCCATGTGTAACTGGTGCTATCCTGGTTTTGACCCACAGCCCATGGGTCCTACTTCGAGAGAGCGGCGACAGCGGCGACAGGAAAGCCAGAGGAGCAGGAGAACGCTCCGAGCTGCGAAGATAGGGCAGTTCCATGTGATGCTTCAGTCACGGAAGAGGAGGGTGCCGATGTATGCCGATGTTGGAACATCCACGTCAATTGGATGGGGCACCCCCCAAAAAACCGTGAACTCTATGGAACTGCTAGGCACTACGCCGCTTTTCAGAGGACCACATGGAGCCTGAAAAACTGGCCGTGTAGAGGAAAACAACACTATAGGATACACTAGGGCAGATTCTGATACAAATATAGTATATGGTAGCTTATTTTAGAAGATATCGGTTGTGGATATATTCTTATAATGAGCTAAGAGCCACCATGGCACTCAGCAGCCGCCACCGAATGCACTTAGTTTTCGGAGTGCACCATGCTCCCGGATACTCCTCGATCCGGGTGTGCGCGAGTCAACCCAACTCGGAACTCTGACCTCCGCGGAGCCCGGGTCCGAAACAAGAGGTATATAAGAGCTTGGGGGATCGTAAAGGGTCACTGGGAAGGTCCCTGTACCCTCACTGGAATCATGACATGGAAAATGGATGAAACATGATGAACATGGAGACTTACAGTATGACCATGTTCCCATAGAAAAAACAGGTGGTATTCCACTTCTGAGATGTTTGCAGAGCCACCTCTTTTTTTCAGCTCCGCAGGAGCAGCCGCTTCTGGAGGAGGACGAGAGAACTTCCGATGGGATTGGACGAAGGGTCAAGGACCTCGTCACGACGAAGAACTCCGTAGGTCCAGCAGCTCTTTTCATCAGCGTGATGTCTCTCTTAGCTTCCCCCAAGAAAGTTCTGAGCTTTGGGAGTGGGAGTAGGACTCCTGTGTCTTTTGTGGTAACGATCTGTCAACTTCATGGAGATTGCCAATTTGTTCCTTTTGCATCTATATACTCTCAAGGTGCTTCAAGGTTTTGCTTTGCCAGGACAGCGGGGTGAGGAGCCTCTCCTGACGCAGACAGCGAAGCTGTCCTGCGAGTGCGATACCAGAGGCTTCAGTTCTTTTTGAAACTTGCGGAGTTAACACATCTCGCTGTTGAGATTTGGACACACGACATGGTCAGCAAACCACCAAGCGATGGTCAATACATCTCGGGGTCGTGTACAAACTGATGCAGAAGTCCCGGATCCGAGGTGGGCTGAATGAAATCACAAACACATCCACCAATGACCGTGGAAACACCGGCGACGCGCCATCGGTCGAGCCCATCGGACACGAACCAAGCCCTGTCACCGGAGTGTGGGAAGAGTAAGGGATTCCGCAAAGAGCCCCCCAGAGAAAGTAGATCCACCGTAACATATTAATATCTGCAGTGGCAACTCCAATATTAATACAGTAATTAGATGGAGTAGTGATGTAGGGTCTTGATTTGTAAACACCCCCCCGCTGTCCTAGGGAGAGGTGGTATGCTGTAGCTCATACGGTTTCTATTGGTTTCCTGCACTTTGTTCGTCAGCGGTGCCTTCAGCAACTACTGCCTCAGCAGAAAAGTGCTCGTGCCAGACCGTTCAGCCCACTTCTGCGCACGCAGGGTTACCAGTGACAGCGTGTCACCCTGTTTAGCAACACCATGCAAGACCTGTCCAGTGACTCTAAAAACTGGTCAAGGAACAGAAAAAAAACAACAGCGACATTCCTCACCGAACATATTAAACCACATCAGACCTGTGACTGGTCAGACCTGTGACTTCACTCCCCTCACGCTTTGAGTCGCCGGGAGCCCGGGTGCGGAACGCCCTCTGAAGAGGGCCTTTCCGGACGTCGGCGGTATGACACCTCTGTGGGCCCTTAAAATCCTCCAGACTCCGAAAGAATCCTCTGAATCCGTTTGGGTGGTGGTTTTCAGAGATGTTGATGTTCAAGCACTACTTGGGATGGGTTTGAAAACCCCACTGACTCCTATTCTTCGCGAGTTAAAACCACCAAGCATATCCAAGCATTCCTTTTTAGAAGCTCCTGGAGTCCCAAAATATTGTTCTTGCAAGATTGCAGTTGAGATTATTTCCCAAACACGTCATGCACGGAAGACTTAAACCCCAGAAACCACCCCCCAATTTGTTCCTACAACCCCGACTTTGATGCAATGAAGTGATTGAGCTTCGCACATGACGAAGACAAAGTACGTGGTCGCATGTCTTAACTGCAGACCCATGTTGACAAGGCCACATGTGTGACATCTTTTTGTCAAGTTCCTTTTGCTTCATACGAGTCACCTCAGGTAGTCGCACCCCAAGACAACGATGTCATTGGGCAAAAGCATTATAGATGGCCTGTCAACATTGGTGATGAAAGGATGTGATGTGTTTGAAACAAAAGTGGTATCGCAGCGCATGAGAATCAAACAATCGAGGTTCTGATCACTCAAGCCACAGAGGTTTCTCGGTCTAATGCATGATTGCTGTGCTCACGAAAACGCTGTGCCGAGAATGGGCCGTGAATTGGCCACTTGGCCAAGACATGCAACATGTGGTCTGAGGGAGTTTCACGATGGTTCCAGTGTATTTACTAACAATGAGTTAGATATTGGTGCGTCACCTGAGGAGTTCCAGTAAACAGTTATAATTGGTTCCATTTGCTATGGCCGGACGAATCGTGTAACTTGCGAAGTGCATAGGTTGAGATAAATCACACGGACCAAGGGCTTTTCCAACAGCTGTAGGATGATCTTAAATCGGGAAATTGGATCATGGATGAACATGGATGCTTAAGAGAGTTGCCTCTCGACACGGAAAGAGCGTGGCCACATTGTACCCTCGTGTCCATAGCTCAAAAAAGACCGTTGCACCGGCTGGATGAAGTAGTTTGGAGCACATCTCTTGGATCGACGGGTCTAAAACCGAGGTGGACACCGTGACCAGTACCAGTGACAGTCGATCAATGATGATTACCAACCAGCATCAGCATCATCCACTGGCATCCACTGGCAAACTGGAGATGGGAGAATCACCTGGCTGATGCTCGTCACCACGCGAGATCTTCACCCCAAATCTACTAGGGGGTTCATGGAGTTGGGTGGCCTTTCGTTCCGGGGTGCAACAAGGAACTGGGCCATGCACAACACGAGGACACAACAGCTGTAGCGATGTGCACTGCGAGGAAGCATGGAGGAAGTCGGTCAGCGGGCTTGGGTCAGGGCAAGCGCACAACCCGCCAGACCCCTGCCGCGTCATGGCATATGCTGCACTTGTGTGCAAACGCGTACTAGTATGGGATTCAGCGAAGGGAAAGCAATGAATTTGTTGCAGCTGTGCAAATTGCATCATCACCTGCAGCCTTTTGGCCGAGTCTGATTCAGTCAGAGTTCATATCACCATGGCAATTCAACCATCCAACACTATTGGGATGCCAACTCGACGACCTCTGGTGACCCTTTTCTTACGTCAAGAACTCGAACACCCGCACAGTCTTGCTTCACCCGTGTCGTGAAAGTCATTCACTATCCTCCAACACAGTGAAGCTGATATTCCACTGTAAAGCTTGTGTGACATGGGGGGTTGAAAGTTGAAAGTTTTTGGACTTCCAACCCATGAACAGCAGACTGCCGTGGCAGACTGTGGCAGTTGGTGTTTTTGCTTTCCTTTTGCTTTCACCCGATGCGGGCAGTTGGATGGACCAATTGACACGTTGTGTGTTGAGGGCGTCACTTCGACATCTCCGCGGAAAAAGGCGATCATCTGCAGATCTTTGGTACCTCATCCATGACAGCCGCTGTGATGGCTGAAGAGCTTGGGATCACCCCATCTCGCAGCTGGTCCGGAGAGGGTCGAGGTCGATGAGCACCTGAAAACGTGGATGGGGACATGGGGCATGTATTAAAATAGGGAGACTTCCCATTTCGCCCCCCCTGGAAGAAGGAAACATAGAGCAAAGCCCACTGGGTGGGGGTCTCCCTATTGATGAACATATACCCATGTGAGAAATGCTGAGGCTGAAGGGACCTGCGCACCTGTTGCTGAGCTTCTGGCCTGGTGGTTTGGGGCGGGGCTCATCGAAAAATATCTCCGTCAGTGTTGGAAATCGTTGGAGCAAAGTGGTTGCGTAGGATGGCATAGGGTGTGGACATGTTCACAAAGGCTATAGAACTATACAGAACTCGATTGCACAACCCGTGAGAACTGCGCACGTTGGGCTTGTCCGACTGGCATGCAGTGCTTTGCCCAGAAACGGTGGTTGGTTTCCCTTCCAAGACAGACAAGTCTGAAACAGAGGGTGAAACAGGTACGGTCCACTGTCAAGTGAAGCAAGGCGAAGCGCGGTCCTGACCGCTGGGGAAGCGCCCAATAATCTCAAACATGGCACGAAAAGGGCTTAGTCATCTATGATAATCCATATACGATCAACTGCTCAAGTGCTTGGTGCTGTTGAAAGCAAAACCACCCTTCCATGATTTACGGTTTTCCAGTTGGCCAAGGCCCAGTGGATTCCATTTGGAAGACCGTGGCACGCCTGGTGAAACTGGCTTTGGCAGATCCTGACCGTGGCTGGTGAATGGATCCTGCAATTGGTGGCTGGATGACGGCTTGGGGAACGACAGCTTTTGGGATGAATTGTTTGATTGCCCGGATGGGTGACATTGATTTATGACACCAAGGGGGGTGTATTGATTGTACCAGTTGGGAACCCAACTTTTTGTGGTTTATTGACCTAATGGGTGGGTACTTCTGGGCGTGTTCATTCTGTCTCCCATTGGCTCGGGTGCTGGTAGGGGGACTTGGGAACAAGGATCCAGCCTTCTGTTTGGAGGGTACTAGCTAATAGCCAAAAAAATGGTTGATCAGACAAGGTGACTGCTGGATCAGGTATAGAGCCCCATCTATTTTTTCACAATTTTTTCGCCAACCTTTGGCAATCCATTGCAGTCTCTGATGACCATCTCGTAATTACATCACGTTTTCCCCCTTCGGCTGAGCGAAAGCAGTGTCTCAGTCCCGAGCTTTGCGTGCCAACTGCGCTGAGCACCTAAGAAAGCATGGGGCGGTGCCATAGTTAATTCTTCCAGGGGCCCATGTGACCTCTATGAATCATATCTATGAATAATTTTGATTTTCTGACCAGGTTCAAGGGGTGTACAAGGGGCCATTGAAAAAATTTTGTGACAGACCCCCCTCTACAGGCATGATGATGTGGAATAGTTATTGCTGACAAACATCTTGCCGACATTGGCTGTTTCTCTCCTCTTGCAGACTTTTGTTGATGAGCCGATTCGATCATGATAAGCCTTGTGAGAGGGCTCATTGATGTGAACATGATTCAGGAATACTGTAACTTAAACGACCAAATTATACAGTATTCCTGAATCATTTTAAGTTACAGGGTATTACCCCCAGGATATTACCCCCAGGATAATTTTGGTTCAAGGGGGTAATCAGGGAAATTATTCCCGGGTTCCCTTGGAGACAACATTGCTCAGGGGCCGCCCATGAGAAAGCAGCCAGCACCACCCAATAACAATCGTCAGATGTGGTCAGGGTCTGTAAACCACCTGACCTGGATGGTGCTGGAGCCAACTGGATCTGATCTGTGACATTTTGGGACACTGCTTTGATCCGAATTCCCGTCCGGCTCCTCCGGACGGTGAGAGGGAGGAGAAACCATCCCTCCCAAGGCGCGCCATCCTCCTGAGCTGCTCCGTCTTCGTCCTCCTCCTGGGGGAAGTCGCCGCCGCTGGGCGCTATAGCGTGGTGCAGAAGAACCTCATTACCGCTTTGCAGGTGCCGGGTTTTCTGGGTGATTCCTCAAATAAAACGTGTTCATCAAGGTGTACCTGGTCCACTTCTGAACACTTTCGGCCACAACGCGGACGATCGGTCGATCGGACGAAGACTGGGACCGGGACGAAGACTGGGGAGTCGATCCTCACGGTCGGACCGAAAGCGGATCGAAGATTGGCGAATTGGAAGGAAATTGGTTCACAAATGTCTTCACGAATTGGTTCTTCAATCGAATTTTGTGTGTGCTTTGGAACAAACTGGTGACTGGTGAATGTGACTTTGCACTAGTCTTATGGTGAAGTTCCAAGTCATGGAGCTCGGAGCTTTTTGTGGCCTGGCCATGCCTGGCCAAGGTTTTAGAGATTCTTTGAGAGAGAGAGAGAGAGAGTCCGCAGAGATTCCACAGAGCCGAACCGAGAAAGTGCTCGGTTCAGGATAGTTTAGATGAGTTCAGAGGATCCAACTCCTTGGAATAAGTCTGTGGAACTAGCCATGCTATGCTATGCTATCACAGTCCTCTGAACCCATCTAGCTTCTCAGAAAGTATGTGGATCTCTAATTACAGTCCCTGACCTTCCCACCAGGGAAAAACCTGCCTGCCTTGACTGCGAAAAAAATGTTCTGCGCATTTCTGCCAGGCGAAGGACAAGGCCTTGTTTCATCGGGGCCTACGGAATGTGGGTCGCATCATCCTTTGCATCAGTCCGATCATTGCATTGAGAGATGCTCGGAGTGCACAACTGTTTTGGCGGTGTTTTTTTGTGTTTGTTCATGTGTTTGGGGACTGGAGGAACATCAGGGTTGGGTTGGATGGAATTCAAAGATATAGATGGGATGATTGTAAGTTGATTCTCCTCAGCTCCTCAAATAGTCATAGTCTAGATCGAACCAAGATCTGCGGATTTCCATTGCATGCTTTGACGTCTACAGTTGATGGCAAGTGGCGGAATGTACCTTTGAGAACTCAATGAGATGTTCTGGCACCTCTTAGAGGAGATGTTTCAATGGTGTTATTTTGTAACAACTTTCACAATTGATCGTAGTCCGGTAAACTCACGTTTTGTGGGACTCATGGTTTCGTGTAATTTCAGTTACACGCCGCGTTTGGGACATTTACGGCCCCCGTCGCCGTTCTTCGCACCGTTCTTCTCTCTGGAGGAATATGCTGCTGGTGTGCTTGGGATGAACTGTCGAACGTCCTTGACCGCGTACTTCGCGAGGAAGTACTTGATGCCTCAGAAGCCGAAGAGTGATTCGCAGGCTGGGACTGACCAGCAGGCCAGGTGGGTGTCTCCTTCGAAGGAGCTCATGGTCTGGCTATTTTGTGTGGATGGATGATGCCAAAGAGAGAACTCCAAAACAAGGACAGATGACTATTCCCCATAATTAATGATCAAAAGAGGATCGACATTTTGGACCATGTTTATTGAATTTGGAGCGCAGTACTCGAGCACTACGCACTACCACTGCACATCTGGGGTTAGTGTCCCCCCGGGCCAGTGTCCTCCGCCCAGGCTCGGAGGTGAGCTATGGTGTGTTGGCGGTAGCCCAACCAACAACACCAACCAAGGACTTCACCCCAAGACTCCGGACCTTTTGAAGATCGCGTGCAGAGCTTTTTAGTCATTCACCGTTGACCGTTGACGTGAGGTTGGTCTTTTCGCTCGAGCCCGTCACTGACAAAGGTTTTCCAAGCCCACATCCTGCACAGCGTTCTGCTGCGCTTCCATGCCTCAGCAAATTCGCCGAGCTGCCGACGAGGCGCCACACGTCTAACCTCCGACGAGGCGCCCCACACATTGAAGCTTCGAATGGCAAGCGAGATCAGATGGGCTAGCGGCTATGCCTGGCTGCGCTCATTGAGTCTGGTAGGAACTGACACTGTGGAATGAGATGAGCGGCGGAAACACAAAGGCTCAATGAGTTTCAAGACGTTGCATCTCCCCTCCATACTTAGGCTCCTTGGAAATGCTTGATGCCCCCTGTCGGGGTGACCGTTCTGGGTGACACTCAACTCAGTGGCCGGATCCGGGTGACCCGAACGACCGTTCCGGGTGACGTGCCCCCCCCCCTTTTCGCCGTGCAACCAGCAGCAGGACAAGACCTGCGAGACCCGTTTGAGGTCGGAGACCCGTTTGAGGTCGGAGAGTGATCCATGCCGATGTCGATGAAGTCTCTCTTTGGCCCAACAACAAGGCTTTGGAAACAATGCGAAGCAGAAGAGATGACATAGATATACATAGATGAGGACTTCTAGAACCAGCTCTTGAATGTAACCAGCCTGAGTGAAGGCTGTTGTTGGCAAGCTTGCTGGAATATGTTGGTGACTTTGCCAGGAGATTGTTTCAACACTGCTGACTCCTATATGTCAAGGAAAACAAAAGTTGGCCATGGCGGCCATGCCTGAAGCAGGCGGGATAAGGCAGGCTGGAAATGTACAAAGCTGGTCAAGGCTGGATGTGGCTGAACAAATCTGGCTAGGGCCTGACTGGATAAGCCTTCGGCAGACTGGATAAGACTGCACAAAGCTGGTCGGATGAGCTCTGGCCACGGCTAGACAAAGTTCGCTGCGCCTTCGCAGGCTTATTCAGCCTTTGCTAGCTTTGTCCCGCTCTATCCAGCTTGCTTGTTCCTATATACCAGGTTCGAGCATGTTCAGGCTATGCTGGAGCCTCCAGTTCACTTGGAGGTTCTGAGAACCTGCAGACAACCATGGAAAAGGCATAAAGGAATTTGTGAAATCGACGTTGATGATTTCCTTAACAGTTCCGTGGAGAGAGTCGCGGTTTGTGATCAGACTCGTTTGTCACGCCCTACCCCATCGCGTCGATGAACCGGCAGTCCTAAGAGTTCCCAGAGCCAGGAATATGCACTATGTCTTTTGGTGTGTTTGTGTTTGTTTATGTATTCAATTATTTAAAATAGGATATTGGTAGTGAGATTGGTTTTAATTCGTTTATATAGACAAAACTTGTCTTCGCTGGCTCCATGAACTGTTCCTGTCTTCCTGTCGGCCCTTTGGGCCGAGAATCTTGGCATTTTCCTCACAACTGCCCGCAGTGTGTGTTTTGCCTGAGCGACTTTGCTTTTTGTTTATTGCCCTAAACCCTAAACATTTCACTTGTATATAACTTGGATTTGACTCCGCTGAACAACCAGCCCATCCTCATCCAGCCTGTCAAACAGGCTGCACCATGCCCGTACTACGCGCTGACTCTCACCGGCCCCTTGGCAAGTTCTCCAGGCACGTCGGGTTTTAGAGACTACTCGAAGAGAGGCAGTTGCTCAAGCTGCACTGTACACATCAGAAATCATAGGAACCATGTTTTAAGAAAGACATACTCCTCTGAAACTCCTGTCACTTGTTTTGAGATCGATTCTGAAGATCCCAAATCTTCCCCAGTTCCGTCCCCCCAGTTCCTGGTCATGGCGAAAAGGGCGCCTCATGAGGTCGATCGCCCCCGAGGTGAGATCGACAACCCTGATCAGCGCATTTGCAGCTCGGCGCAGGATGTGGAGGGAGAACCAGGCAATGGTTTTCAGGATGAACATGTAGCATGGGACGAACTTCCACCTTGGGGCCAGGCCGCTTCGTCCGAAAACAAAAAAAAACATACACATGCAAGAGTCTTTCAGTGCAAGAAGTGTTCTCATCAAAAAGAACATGTTAAAATACGTCAAATCTATATAGATCATGCTGATGGGGATGGTAAGGTCATCAGGTTATATTTGGTTACCATATTTGTGGGGCTCAGGTATGAGAGATGTTTCTTTTGCGGTGGATGACTGTTGATGAAACCCCTTCTGAACTGTGTTTTATTGTTTTTTACAGCAACTACATACTATTAGGTCTTCTGGAGGAACTCCATGAATTGCTTTTTTTTGGTAAGCTCTGACAAGTGCTTGTTTGTGTTTGTTGAGCTACTATGTATGTATGACTTTCGACCTCGAAAAAACTAGTAGTCAGACAAGTCATCACTTGCGAAAGCAAAATACATCAAAATACACATATCAGCACCATATGTGGATGTTTGACATGCACGAATGTGATGTGAAAGCAGCCCAGCCTTGATCAGGTCAAGATGTGGGTCACTTGGTCACATCAGGCGTCTCCTTTGCTCAAGACGTGGTCAGGATGCTGACTGGAAGACTGGAAGACCTTTTGCCGGCAGAGATGGTCAGTTAATGTCAGTTATTAGGATTTCATCAGACAGGTGTGGTCTGGTTTAGCATAGCATGACAGACCTGATCCTTCATCGGAGATTGGCAAATAACCAGACATAACATCACAGACCTTTCAGAGGATTTGTCAGAGGACCTGTCAGTTAACCAAACCTATGCTGCGCAGGACCAGCCTCAGCATCCTCACTTTTGCCCCAGTGCTGTACTCCATTTCACCTGCAGCCTGCATTGGAGGGATTGCCTACGCTGCACCTTGGCAGAAGGCTCCATGAATCGAGCGACCTGCTTGGGGACGAGCATCGGTGGACCCTCGGCGACGTTGGTTGGGGGGCAATGCTCCGAGAAGATGACCGCATGATGTGACCCCGGAGATGACGAAGATGCGCCTGACCCCCATTCATTTGTTTCGGCCACCGAGATCTACACATGGAAAATGACCATGTAATTAGATCATCATAGATCCTATTGCTTTTGTCGTACTTCCTTGCGTTCCTTGCATCCTTCAAAGCGACTTTTAGAGCAAACTCACTCCCCTCCCCCCCAAAGTGTTCAAGAAAAACTGCAACTTGCCAGTCACTTTCACAACATGCATGAATCAACATACATCTATCCAATGGCTCCAAGCTACATCCACTCACACCTCACCGCCACATCCACTCGTGAAAAACCTCGAGGTGACCGGCACCGTGGTCTCCGCCCGGAGCTTCGGGCGGCTGCTGGGTGTCTATCAGCTGCGCTCGCTGCAGCGCGAAGCGCACCTCCGCGGCTTGGATGTTCGGTGAAGGACGGGAACAAAGAAGTTTGGCGAACAAAAAGGGTACAGGTGGAGGAAGGGAGGTATCAGAATGGTGCATGGACTCATGATTTTGGAGAGATGCCTTTGAGGTTACCAATTGAAAGATGCAAAACAATCAGAGTCCCATTCCTCTAGAAGTGAGAGGACGTTGTGTCCTACTTCTACATTCCACTTCTCTATAGATTGCGTTCCACTTCCATCTTGTTTCCTGCAGTTTGCTCCTCACGAACCTCTTCGACAGCCATTATGTTTCAAGGGTTTGGGGGTTCTTGTTAAATAGCAGATGGCATAAATTCGCAGCAGATGGCCCTAGACGATGATGCCTTCACGCTAAATTTGTCCAATCACCCATGATCTCATTTGAGCTTTGTTTCTAGATGTTTCTTGGTCCAACGAAGACCACTCCATTTTCTTTCTGGTACCCACCGCCTGTTTCAAGTACCGTTTTTTTGCCCCAACAACCATCTTTCTCCGCGCACGTCCGATCCTTTCAGGCTACACCCTCATTCGCGTGCGCGAGCACGCCGAGTCGATCGCCTTCTTTGAAGGCCAGAGGGTGGTCTTCGAAGGAAAGGAGGGCGACCCGAGCGTCGTCCCGTGTGGAGTCGTAGAGGTTCGGAACGGAGCGCCAGGCCAGGGGTGGGTTTGCTGGTATACAAGTGGATCTAAGAAAAGATATGAAAAGATGTAGATTTATGTGTAGAGTAGATATTATTTGCCAGTAATTTTTGTATCTACTGTACATCTGTTCCACCAGTTGGTTTTGTTGTGCTTTGTTTGAATCAAAACAATGTCGTTTCCCTGGCCAAGCAACGTGAAAGCATCATGAGAAGGAAGCACACGTTGGTTTTCAGGAAGCATGTTCACCTAAGCCGCCTAAGCCTTCTTAAGCAACCGAAGCAAAGCAACCTGAATTATATACAATTATGAGAGTTGTCAAAAAGTGGACAGAACAAATAAGTTGTATTATAAGAGCTTCTTTACAAGTGTTGGTTGTTTTTTCTATTATTTCGTTGTCCCAAAACGACCGGTTCCCAGAAGAGAGCTGAACCTGTAGACAAGACCATCAAAGGAAGGAACCTGACCTGCTGTTGATCCTTCGTAAAAGCACCCAGGTTGTTCAGTAGAATCCAGTTAATTCACGTCGATGTTGGTTGCAACCGTAGTGGGAACTACAAACACAGCAGACACACGTCACAAGTGTGTGTGATTAACAGCCCCTCAACTGCCAGACGCAAAGGACTCTTTGTTTTGATTTGTGGCTGGTCCATAAGCCCAAAGTTATACGTATAGTTTGCTCAGGAGCACATTGAGGATGAAAGGACCCAATCCAGACTGTCAATTAGTGTCCCAAAACATCCCAGAACATATTGAAATACAGCACCGGATTGATACTGGTACCTGCCAGTTAGCAGCTTCATCTGTGAGGTTGTTGCTTGATTTGATTTGCTTTGATTCTTAGATCTGCACGTGTTCCTCTTTGAATACATACTATAGTCCTCGGTGTTTGTACTGATGACATGCTGGCAATGTAGCATATGATTCGTCAGCTTCCAGTCCTGGAAGCTGGGTCCAAGTCGCCTGCAAGGACATCCTGGGATACCTCCAAGCAGCAGACAAACCTGTGGACAGTCTAAAAAAGCTTGTGTCCAATTGAGGTGTGTGTCCTAAACTTGCCCAACCAGATCTTGCCACAGGTGGAGCAGCGGAATTCTCCAAGTTTCATGGGGGTGCCTCGACTGGATGCACCGCTCGTCGGCCTGGAGTGGGCTGGATGCGCTGCGGCCGCGACCAAGAACCACTCCTCGAGTATGGGAGTTGCAGACCAGCACATCAGAGCACATCCATGTAGGGTATCAGAAGCCTCTGAACTTTGGGGTCTTCGCAAGTGGTGAAGTGGCAGGGAACATCTCAATAGGGTTGGCCGGCCAAGCCAACCAATGGTTGTTTAGCCCAATTGACACTTGTGCTGATTTGTTTAGCCCAATGGTTGCTGGTTGTCCAGGTGTTCCATTTGCCCCGGGTGGGACTCTGACTCATGTTGATTGAACCTGGATTGGGCCTGAATCAATGAATGGGCCGTCCATCACTCCTTTCCAGTGAATCAGGGAGCTCTAGTGACAGGTGGTATCGTTGCTCAAATACATTCCTTTGGCATACATTTCTTTGTGCTCCAAAAGCGGCTTGAGGAGTCAAACTTTGCAAGCCTGACGCCACATCTTGGAGAAGACGGAGCTCAAGACCACTAGTATTCAACATCCCTGTTTAAAGGGGATGGAGGTGGCCTGATATCAAAACAAGAGTTCACCTTATAGACATCCTGTTCTTGGGATGTGGTAAGGAAACCAAGGATCACCACTGTTTGACGAGGCATCTTCATGCCCGCATTGCGCATGCTGGCGCATGCCCCTATTTGCTGTCAAGTCCTGAGGCTTCCGGAACTTGCTGGAGGCTCTCTATCAGAGCGTGCCTGGGCTTGTTTCAGCGAGGAGGATGAGGCACATGACACCTGTACAGATGGTACAGTGATATCAGAGTTGAAAAGACAAATCCTAAGAGATTATATATATATATATAAATATGTTGAACCCCCATTGGCCTATGGCTTTGTGCCATTGCTCTGAATTTAAGAAGAATAAAGATAAGAAAGCACTGCCGGTAGTGAGTCTGCCTACGTAGTGTATTGTCAGGTGAACGTCGAACAGAGCGTCAGCACACCCAGGACAAGGACTCAACTCAAATCCTGCTAGCTTTGGTGTGGTTTCCCCCAAATAAGCATATATATATAATATGATTATATACAACGATTGCAAAGTGTTCAAGTGTGGCAGAGCCGGAGTGCAACCATCATTTTTTGGGGATGTTTTTCTTCTTGGCCAGACCTATCTGAGTTTTTGTGTCCTAATATGTGCCATTGCGAGGCTACCCTGTTCTGGACCTGAAGAGCTAAACCACACCCGCAGTGCCAAAAGAAAGCATAGCTCCACTCACTCATAGACCTCTGACCTCTCAGTAGGTCAGATGATTTTTCAAGACCCATCCTTTTGCTACGGCGTCCCACTTCCCCTGTGCTCCCCCGTGCTCCCCGTCAGGTCTTGGTCGCGACCGGCTACAGCATGCTGAATCGCACCTTCCACTGGGCCACCTTCGCCGTCATTCCGATGCTGGTGGGCCCCGCCTACCTGGATGGCCGCGTCGAGTTCGGCGTGATCTCCCAGGTGCGTCCGATCGATGAAGGGAGACACCGGGGGGCGTTCGGTCTCTTTCTAAGAGGGTGACTGAAGAAAGACACAGTGAACATTAGCTTAATCAGGAAGTGGGGGGGGGTTCTGGCTGGTGCCCACTAGTAAAATAATGTGAAATAGCATTTCCTGCTTGAAAAGGCTTGAAAGCTATCGTTTCTTAAAGGACTTGGAGCCTGGTTGTTGTTTCCTCTTCGATTCTGTGCCATTTGCACTGAAAACACTGCAATCGTAGCAGTAGTCACAGACCCTATACCAGCCATGTGTCACCATCGATTTCTTTAAGAGTGAAGCATAGTCAAGTTATTGAATTGTTAGACTCCAACTCACAGTACACGACAGTACCCGCGGAACATGGCTTTCTTCGCCCGACCTGTTCCCTCGGAAATCAGCCATCAAAGCAGGTCACCAATGGTAATGACTTAAGTCACTTAAGTCTATCTATAGAAAAGGCTGCAGAGACCAGGAAAAAACCTGGTAAAACACCATCTTGAAGAGACCTGCTTTGAGTCGAAGGGGCCCCGGTCGAGGGGTGGGAGTCGATGTCCAGCCGGTCAGCCGGTCAGGCTCCCGGTCGGCTGTTCATCCCGACCCCGCGGGGAACGGTTTTCTGGTGTTAGGGGCCTGTGACTGCTGCCTCACTTCTTCCCAAAGTCGGAGAAGTACCAGGGCCCGGAGTCCACCACAGGGGAGTTGGGTGCTTCATAATAGGTTTCAATGAGGTCGGGGGTCAAATGTAGGGGGTCAGTTTCCACACATGGAGTATTTGGGTAATCCCTTCACCTCACCTCTTGTCGGAATCGATCACCTCAATTGGCCATGCCCTCCATGGCACCGTCTCCATGGCACCGGACGCACTCGCTCGCTGGACCCAGATGCCGAGGCCACGATGGCTTTCAACATCATTTTGGAGGCCAGTTTGCTCCGATTTTAAGCATGTTAGTTTTACTATGTACATGATATGTATAAGCACTAATAATCAAACTTGTCTTAGACCAATCATTAGTTAAATAGCCGCTTGATCCAAGGATGTGTTTGGAACTCTTCGTGTTTTACCACTTGGACAAAGGAGCATTGCCCATTTGGACTCCTACGTCGGTTTCAGAGGGTCCAAGCACCTGAGATTCGACGCGACGCTGGTGGCCATGTGAGATCCTGTTGTGGGCGTGAAGATAAGGAGCGGATTGGTGGACATTTCTGGTTCACGTTCTGGTTCACGTTCTGGTTTTCGTGGCCCATGCAGAAAACATGTCCTGCCCTGGAGGGGGAAGGTGTGAACAAGATCCTTTTGATTGCTATTCCGAATTCTTCCCATGAGATCGTTCAAGGGAGTTCACCATGTGCACTTCGGCAGTCACTTGTATGCCTTACGGCAGTCACCATGGAATCGGTCTCCCCAACTGCCATGGACAGCACCGCAAGACGGGCGAACTCGAGTCGTCGTGCTTCGTCGGGCAGACTGGCGGCCGAGTTCGGCGAGGTGTGACACCGCCGAAGTGGAGGAACCAACCATCACAATGTGGAGGAAAGCGGTTAAATTGACCATTCAGGTTCTGAATAGGTTTTAGTGGTGCTAGCTCATTCTCGATTTTGGTATGCAGTCATGATCAATGCAACCCTCCAATGCCACCGAGCCGACGGAGGCAACGGTGGGGGTGGCCGTTCTTCGCAGGCATTGACCTTGGCCATGCACCGCCACTCGGTTCTCTGGGCTGGAAGGAAGGCCTTGAGAAATGTGGTGCGTTGGCAAAAAAAGACTTTGTGGAGTGGGTGATAGGCCTCACTGAACCCTCGAAGTCCAACGACTATATTTGCCTCTGAAGTAGTAGGGGATGTTCGTTTTCGGGTTACCAAAAGACCATTTTGAACATAGTCTTGGACTCCCAGGGTTAAGATATGCCGCAGCTGCCCAATTACGGGTTATAAACAATTTGTTGTGGGAGTACGGGATTCACCAAAAGAGATGGGTTCAAGGTTCTGAGTCGGGTGCTGGGATCTCTTGTGATTTTGCAAGACTGAGACATGTTACAGGATGATGCATGCGTTTATGTTGGGCTGCACGGTGATGCATGCGCATCTCCAATGCTATTAGGGGGCAACTGGGCCGCCGACCCCGAGAACACAGGACACATGCTGAAAACTGTGTCGGTACCGGTGCTTTGGGCACCAGGGCCTCCTGCAAAAAACTTGGAAATATTGTGTTCGTTTGCTTGCCGTTCAATCGCATCGGTATTTACATTTACATGGCTTTTAGTATCCCAATTCAAAAAATATTGTAAATGCCGTGGTGTTTGCTTGCCCTGGTGCGAAAACATGGTATCTATATTGCAGTTGGGGGTCTTAATGCAAAAGCCTCATAAATACTGCAAAATCAACTCGTAAATACCGGTGCTTTTGGCTTACCCGTGTTCAAAAGCATCGGTGACTCGATAAGTTTTTTTTTGGGAATGGCCCTGTCTCATATGCCTAGGTCCCGCTCGCATGCGCCCGCCCCCCAAAGACCATGTATGCGCCGTGGCCCTTCAAGTGTCACCTCGCTCACCACCTTTCCACCCTCCCTTTGTTTTCCCAAAGCCACCTTCAAAAATTGTCTTGAAGCCGCTACGGCGCAGCCCACGCACGCCCAATCCTGACGAGCTTCGTCTCGATTGGCTCCAGTTAAAGCTGGCACACGACCAATTTTGCAAGTAGTCAAGCCTCCATCTGTGAGCGCGCAGCAAAAGGGCCCGCTTTAATCTGCAACCCTCCTTCAAAGGAATTGACAGAGTCCACTTCAAGTCAGGCCTTACCAGCGACATCAACCAGCCGTACACTCACTCTTGCTCCGTCATGCTATGACTGTTGCACTTCAGTCTAATGCGGTCCCGCGCACGCGCGCCCCCCCAGAAGAGGAAACTTATATAATAGGTACATTTATATATGTACCTGCGCCCCCCGTGGGTTAAGACGTTTAACACTTCTCTTGTTTTTCCGTAGTGTGTGGTTCAAGCTTCTATGTCCTGCTCCTCCTGTGGGCTCTTCGGAGGTCCTTTGTGTGGAGCGTGCCGCACACTTCGCAGGATCCGTGAGATCTTGCACGGGAACCTGTTGCTGAGGTCGCAGGAATCAGCTGTGGTACTTGCTCTCCGCGGTGCTGCAGGAGCACTCGAGGACCTTGCAGAAGAGGCTGGGCCCGTACTACTTCGTGAACGCGAGACTTCAGGTGCCGAGGTCCTCCAGGTCACAGCTGAGCGTGCTGCGGGAGTGGAAGCTCCTGAGGTGCTGCCCATAGCACCTAAGGTCGAGCAGGAGGAGCAGAAGGGACCGCTCGCTGAGGTGGTCGTTGAGGACGAAGGTGGCACGAAAGAAGACGAGGCGAAAGCCCCAGCAGAGAGGCCGCCTGCAGGTGAGAAGGAAGTCAAAAAGAGAAGGAGGAAGCGCGAGGGCTCCAGAAGAGAGGAGCCGAAAGGTGAGAGGAAGCGGCGCAAGAGCCGAAAGGAGAAGGGCGGAGGCCAGGCAACCAAGTCCAGCCAGCCTCACCCAACCAGTGCAGTGCATCCCAAGCCCGCACCCTCCGTTGAACAGTCACCAGAGGAGATCAGCCTTGGATTGCAACCTGCACCACAGTGTCGGAGATTTTCCCCCGGCTACTGCCACCTCCACCTCCCCCAAGGAGGCCGAGGTCACCCAGTCACCCGCCGCCTGATCGCGAGAGGCATCGAGGAGGACGCCAAGGTCACTGGGGTCAGAAGCAGCGGAACAGATCCCCGCCCAAGCGGCCTCGTGGATCAAAAGGGGCGAAACACCGCCAGAGAGGCATTGATCGGCGGGCCGGTCGCTACCAGTAGCAATGGCGCCAAAGGTCAAGGCGAAGGCGAAAGCCAAGGGTGTGGCAAAGGCCAAGGCCAGGTTGGCCATGAGGGTTGGAGCATTGAGGCGACCGCTTCATCGGCCCGCAGCAGCCATGGACGCCGGCTTGGCTCCTGTGCCACGGGAGCGGTGGTTGAGAGGAGAAGAGATAAAGCTCAACGAGTTGCCCATCGAGGAGGTCGGCAAAGGAGTGCGCATTGTGATCACAGAAGCAACGTACTACATGGCCAACTGTCGGATGGCAGGAGTCGTTCAGGGACTGACCATAGAAGACGGAGCCGTTCACCTACAGGTCGAAGCCACTGGCACCACGAGCGAGGCACTCCTCAAGTTCCATTCCGGCCAGCCGTCGGTCCTGATACGATGTCATCGATGCCCCGAGGAGTGTTCGGGGGAGCGTGTGGCAGACGAGCTCGTTCATGCTCGCAAGGGCCGTCTCATGAAGGGTCCTTCAGACGAAGAGGCCTGGGTCCGGAACCTCCTGAATGCAGAGCCGGGAGGCGAGGACGAGTTGCGAGATCTTCGAGCTCGGGACGATCACCGCTTGTCAGGAGGAGGCGAAGCAGGGCGTGTGGAGAAGGCTCCAGTCACCGAGAAGGACGACAAGGTCAAGAAGAAGTCAAAAAAGAAAGACGCAAAGAAAAAGAAGCAAAAGAAGAAGAAGGCTTCGTCATCCGCCAGCGTCGCAAAGAAAGAGAAGAAGGCCAAGAAAGAGGCAGGAAGAAGACGGGAGATCAGCGTGAGCTCCTCGGAGTCGAGCATTGGAGAGGATGGAAAGAGGCCAAGGACGGCCGCCCAGAAGTCGCTTCGTGCCCTGTTTCGGGGAACCGGCCTGGACCCCCGAGAGCGGGTCCGCAAGCGCGTGACTCGCCGCGCCAAGAGAGCCGCGAAGCGATCCAAGTCGGACCGGTCATCGGGTTCGAGCCGGACATCCACGGAGACAGGGGCGTCAGAGGCGGAAGACAGTGGGGAGGTCGACCTCTTCGAGGCGGACAGCAAGTTGAAGAGGATGGCGGATGCCTTTCCAGGGGCTCTGAGCAGCAGTTCATTGAGCATGATGCGGCAGAACCTTCTTCAGTCGATAGGAGAGCAGGTGAGGCCATCGGGCGTGCAACCGGTCTGCATGACCTACTACCGGCAACAGCTACATCGAAGGGCAACACCGCCGGTGCAACGAGAGTTAGTGACGCTCTCGGCTGCCCTGGATTGGTTGCTGCGGGGTTACCCCGCTCGGACAGCAGACGTCCTCAGCCAGAGGTTGAAGAGCATCGAGACGGTCCTCGGCGGCACCCACTGGTCGGTGGCTCAAAGGATGGAACTGGCGCCTCAGAAGGGGCTGTACATCGCAGCTCCTCAAGAAGTTTCAGCCGCCCAGAAAGACTATGCCGAATCGAAAGTGAGATCGCTGGCAGCAATGCCAGATGGGAGGAAGGGAAAGGGCAAGTCGACAGAGAAAGGGAAGGACTTCGACTCTCGCCGAGACAAAGGAAAGGGGAAGAATTCGAACAAAGGAGACAAGCAGAAGGCGAAGGACGACAATGCCAAGTAAGCTCCTGTGGCCGGGAGCTCTTGATGTCCATTGAGCCCAGGCCAATTGGTGATGGCCCTGAAGAGTCAACGGCTGGAGGCTGTAGACCCGGGGCGTTGGTTGATGAGCAATTCATTGCAGGTGTGGCAGCCCCTCGTGATGAGGGACAAGTTGAAGGATCGTTGGGCGATCCTATTACGGCGTGTGTACATCATGCCGGGATTTCTCCACTCCGGATGGCTGAATCATCTCAAGTCACCGATGAGGCACTCATGTCGAGAGCCGAACTCACAGGTCAGTTTCCACCTGGCCCTCCGCGCTTTGAACACGTTGAGAGGCAACAGGTCGGCCCGCCAGACATTGCGCCCGGGCCTGAAAAGGAAGACGGACTGCCAGTTTTTCATGGGAAGAGTTTTCGTTCGTTGGGACCATTTTTGTTGCAGCATTTGATGGAGGTTATTCCACTTCGCAGCCAGTCCAAGGGTAGTGGGGAATCCGCCTTATTCCCATTGCCTACCTCCATCGATACATTGCTAGAATTGTGGCCCTCAATTCAACAGGAAGTTGCACACTGCATTGCGTGTGTTTGTGTTGCACTGAATTCCCTTTGGGGTGGCCTGAGCTTAGGAAGAGTCCCCACCAGAAGGTCTGTTTGAGTTCAATCCGGTCGGAAGTCGAGCGCTTTTGTGCCTTGGACGTGGCCGTGACGGGCATCGATTGGCAGGAATACTTCAGCGTGCGTGGCATCGACTACAAAGGGGACGAGGTCAAGGTCGCTCGGTGGATCCAATGGGAAAACGTCGCACCCGCGTTGCCCAAGGAGATTGGTTTGGTGCCCCTTGCCGAGGTGTGTACCCTGGGTTGTAAAGAATATGTTCTGTGTTTGGACTCCTTCCTGAAGCCGCGGGAAACCTGGGGTAAGATTTCACGCCCCAAAGTCATGGTGGAAGACGGTGCCTGGGCAGCCATGTGCACTGGATTGGTTGAAGCGGGAGTGTGCTGTCTACTGGAGGAAGGCCAGGTCTTCCAGACAGACAGCGGACCACTCCTGAACGGACTTTTTGGAGTCTCCAAGGAGGATTGGACACCTCAGGGAACTGAGATCTTCAGGTTGATTATGAATCTGATACCATTCAATTCCATATGCCAACCGCTCAGCGGTGACATTGACACTCTCCCCTCTTGGAGTATGATGAGTCCTTTCTTTCTTCAACCTGGTGAGAATCTCCTCGTTTCGTCTGAAGATGTGAGGTGTTTTTTCTATACCATGCAAGTACCTGACTGTTGGGTAAAGTTCTTGGCCTTCAACAAGGTCGT